TTAAATTGCCCCAGGCTTCACTTACTGTAAGTCTTATTGCTACAGTTTCTGACATCAGTAAGTTACCTCCCGCTGACTTTACCGTGCGGCATAAAATTGTAGGTTGGCAGCACCTACCTGAGCCATTTTGGATAATGCCAGTCTCCATTTTAGAGAATTAATTGCCATTATTTGTACTAGATGATCCAGGTTTCATGAAAATATGAAAATACTGCTTTATGGTAACATAAGGATTTTTGTGATTCTTTTTAAACAGAAATTGCATTTAGAAAAGTGTTTTTTCCTCACCTCTCTATTAAGCAAATAGATGAGCTCTTCAGAGCAAGATCATATAATGTACATGCTCTGAACTTCTGGTTTCTCTTTAATTTTTCAAGGAAACCTAGATACTGCAAATTAGGCAACGTGAATAGCTCCTTAAGGCTCATACTTTGTTTTAATAATATAAAGTAATTTGAAAGAAATGCTTCATAGTAATTTAAAGGCTTTTAATCATAGTGATTGAAAGGCTATTGCAATCACGGTTGGTCAGTATTCTGAAATATTTAAGAGTAGTGCCATTTCTTCATTCATAGTATTAGATGTACAACATAAAAAAAGAAATTTTACTTTGGAAAGGGCAGCACTTTGAAAATGGTGTTGAAATCTGGATTCTTTCACATCTTTATTGATTTTAAATTTCATGGGATAGGGTCAATAGAAAGAACAGGTAGGGTTTTGTTGATACTAATGTATATTGACTTTTTAATTTGATATTTGAACTATTGTGTATTTAGGATGTATCTCTAATATGAACAGTAAATTCCTTGTCTTCTCCTTCACCTTTACTCAGAGTTATCCATACATTTATACGTGAATTATTCTATTTATTAATATATTTTCACTGGCTGCTCTACCACATCTTTTGTAGTTGAAGGTACCTGCCATGACAACTGGCAGGATCTCTAATGAATTCTTAATACGTTTCTAGAGTTCCCTGCATACCAGGCTGGCTTGCAATAAATTGGAAGCATGAATTAATTTTGCTTGTGTTCCAAGATGACCACAGACCATGTTATAGAGTGTGCTTCATATGTTAATGTTGCTATCTTTTAGCTAGACTTATTTGTTAAGACTCAGCACTGTGATGCTATAAGTGACCCAGCATGTGGTTGGCCTTAGATGGTAGCAAAGGGAGCTCATATCTTGATTGTAAAATGATATGTAGGTTTGCCCTTTTCCTCCTGGAAAACAAATTTATTCCTTGCTTTGGATGGCTCTGTTGCAAATTACACAGGGAATTGCTAACTGCTCCTTTTTTCTTGGCAGCTTAGGTGACCTTTTGCAGTTTCCAAGAGTGAGGTAATTAGATATTTTAAAGACTGAGGTCTTGAACCTTTCTCAATATTAAGAGGAATGAATACAGTCAATGGCAGGCAAATTCAAGGTGCTCTTAATAGCGGGATATAATTCCCCAAGGGCTGGTGGTTTCGTACACAGGATAATTATATTGTTGTTGCTCAGGTATGAGAGTGAGTGAGAGGGCAACCTATTACTGAGGCCAGTCCAATAAATGCACTAGGAAACCACGTAGCGCTGCAAGGATGCTCTCTGGTGGGGTGTGGAGGAGTAAAGGTGAAATGTGACTCAAATAATTCTCCCTTGCAAATTACCTTCACTTGACTAATTGTGGATCCGTGTCTCTGAGGGAAAATGTATCGAGTTAACATTAAAGAACAATATGTAAGGTGTTTCAGACGGAAATAGCACTGGATAATATAAGCCCTATTATAAGCATGTTTGTCCTTATGTACCCAGAAGGAAAAAAAAATAAATTAAAAAGCAGAATCTTTGGAAAATAATAAATTAAAAAAATTACAAATTGAATTTATTAGTACCCTAGAGGCTATAGATTCTGAGGCATGTACCTCCATGAGTTATAAAGCAGATATTAGTCTCAGAATTATTCCTTAGTGTTCAGTTCTTTTCCTGGAATTTAATGACTGCTTTTTGTGAACATACTGGTTTTCTTGGTTTTGCTGTGCTTCACTTATGGCTGAGTATAACTTCCATGGTCAAGGGAGAGGGGTGAGAGTCTTAATATAACACCAGAAAATGGGCTTCCAAATGCCAGCCACATTCAGTTACCAGTTTAATGTTCTTTGCAATTATAGTTTTCAGTTACAGTTCATATATTCCTGTTTTAATACTAATTATCCATGATAATTCACTTCTGAATTTTCAATTTTATAATATTAAAAGAAAATAAAAATTAGAACGTAAACACTCTAAAACATTAGACCTAGACTTAATTCTGTTTCTACAAATGAATGTAATAAGATGCAATCATTCACATCTAGTAACTATGAAATTTTAATTGTGTCATACGTAATAAATTATGATGTGCGACATTTAGGGATTCCAAGAATGTTTTAATATTGGTGGCATAAAATTCCCCAAATTTGTCTTACTAAAGTACTCTTGCCCTCAGATATTATATGTGAAGCTACTTAAAGAGCCAGTGAGGAGTTACTGAGAAAACTATTGCCAGTTTTCCCGTTTGCATTCTGTCCATCAGGTCCTTGAACCGTGTTGTTTGAGTTAGCAAATGACTTCAAAGCCCACAGAGTGGTTTTAGACATCAAGGAAAGCTTGTTCTAACATAGCTATTACCTACTAATTTTATTATGCAATCAACCAGCTTTCAGTAATATCAGACAATTTAAATTTGTCCATAAACAAGAAAGTGTTTTAGTACATCTATTTGTATAGTCCTGGTATCTACCTTTGTTCAGTAGTCAATTAAAGAGTATTTTCTCCTCGTGTTCTTTGTTGCTGTAATTACTTTCATTGTCAACAGTGTGATTTAATTCTAATGAGAGCCCATTTGTTCCTTCTTTTTGCCGTATCCTCTCGTCTCTGTTTAATGCTTCTCAGTCTGTGCTAGCAAGGTTGTCCCCTGTCATTCCTTCAAATGAGGTGGAAGTTATCCAAAATCCCTCATGCCGTAGAAAATGCCTGGTGTTTCATGAGACCAGGTATCTGTAAGTAAGATTTCTTGCCAGGCTACTGGCTTCTTGCTGCATTCTTCTGCCTTTTGGCTTTCTTCAATTTAAATACAGAAAGTCACCTCAATGGGAGACCACTTGTATGTGTTTATTCTCCAATAATCTTCTAAATTCCTTTGCTTAATCTGCTATCTCTGAGGTGTTACAGAGGCATTTGATAAATGTGAATATGGATCCTTATTCTCTAAGACTGCAAGTTAGTCCAATTCCAGTCACTTCTGATGTCTTCACTTAAAGAAGGTAACACTTGTTATCTGTGTTATCTCTCTGTAGCAGAGTATCATTCCTGCTTTCAGGAATCCATGGTGAGGTTTATTTGTTGTCTTTGGGAGACACCACTGCAGTGGGAACAGCAGTGTTCATACTGAACCCTAAAATAAAATGGAGAAATGAGCTTTTATTAGCTTTTAGGACACATTTTTAATGTAGTAGAATAATTCTGCTGTGGCTTATGATGAAATTTGCGGTGTGGATAATGATAGAATTTGAAAGAACACAGTTCTTACAGAAAAAAAAAATGTTGATGTGTCAATCATCTCTTTAGTGTTCTGTTAGCTTTAAACACTGGTTTTTTTAATAGCAACTATGACTTGTGGGGTGTGCCCTCTTAGGCTGTGTGTATGCTGGTGGTTTGTTTTCTAGCAGTAGCACAGTTCTGCAGCATGTCCCCTGCCTCTTCCACTTAGTGTGTCAATTCAGTTTGTGGAATGGGTTTCATCTGTGTCCAAACTGGGCTTCAGAGGAAATTAATCCAGAAGCTCTACCTCAAGTATTCATTAAGCGCTTCCTAACCTCTAATAGGGTTATAAGGTCTAAACCACTGGGTGGGCCCCTGAACAGCTTCAGACCACGTTATATCGTTGGAACACTGGATCGGGGGCCAGACATAATCTAGTCCTGAATGGTGCAGCATCTGTAGATGAAGAAACCTCAGCACAAAGTGCTTTGAGCTGCTGAGCTGTCACTTTTGCTCTAAATCGCTTTCTAATGTGGGCTTAACTGAGAAACAGAAGGTTTTAGTTTCTGTCACCATGCATTCATATTCAGCCATTCAGTGTTATTTTAGCTTGACTGCATCATTTATGGAATAATTAAAAATATTGAGAAAATACCTGTGCACACCTTTGCTATTGGAGAGGTTCATTTCAGCAGTCCTTGTATCCTGGACAACACAGAAATGGCAGCAATTTCAGAATCTACTAATAAAGACTAGAATCCTTGGAAATGGTTCTATCATGACAGGTTTCTCTGAGCAGAGTAAATGTCTGATCTGAAGCAAGAATATTTACTATGGAGGTCAATTGGATTTAAAACTCATATTGTCTTTCATTTTTATCAGAAAAGTCTTCAGTCAGGGAAAATATGTAAGTGGTTTTATTTTTTGTCCAATTGACAAAAAATTGGACTGAGATTGTCCTGGTTTTGCCTGTTTTTATCTGTATCATACTAGTTTCCCTGTTTCCCTTCATGAATACCATGGATGCTACTATTCCTCAGCTCCAAGGACAAACTGAAGTGATGTTAAATTATAAAGTATCTGACCTTGGTACGTTTTCTGTACATGAACAGAAGAGTTAAGACAGCGACGAAGGGTTTAGAGGAAGAAGAAATCTAATATTTCTCTAACATAGCAGAATGGCTGTGCAAAGAGGGCTTTTAAGCAATCAAGGCCATGCAAGCTAATTTGTGACTGATAATACAAATTATGTGCAGATTCTTTCAGATTGTTTAAATTAACTCCAGGGATATTTTTAGAACAACTTTGTTTGGTTTAATGAAAACTATTATTAAATCATTAGTCAATGAAAATAGTTATTTAATTTTGTGTGTATGTAAATTATCCTATTCATATACCACCATTATTATCCTTTAAATAATATGCCTAGTCAGGATTATATCTGTTTGGTTAAAATGGTCAAGTTCCTCTAAGTAACTTCTCTGCTTTGCTTGCAGGTTGTATATAAAAATAATGACGTCAGGTTGGAGTTGTCTCGACTTGCCAAGCAAGGAGATCCTAAAATGAAGATTCACGGGGTTGTAGCATTTAAATGTGAGAATGTTGCAACCTTAGATCCAATCACATTTGAAACACCAGAGTCTTTCATCTCTTTGCCAAAGTGGAATGCCAAGAAAACTGGCTCAATATCATTTGACTTCCGTACAACTGAGCCAAATGGCCTGATTCTTTTCAGTCATGGAAAACCAAGGCACCAAAAAGATGCCAAACACCCCCAGATGGTGAAGGTTGACTTTTTTGCCATTGAGATGCTTGATGGCCACCTCTACCTGCTGTTAGACATGGGATCAGGTACTATAAAAATAAAAGCCTTACAGAAGAAGGTGAATGATGGTGAATGGTACCATGTGGATTTTCAACGAGATGGACGTTCAGGTAAGATTGTTTTTTTAATATTCAGTATGGTTTTCCATGTTTTATCCAAGGGAATGCTGCATATATATTATGTTGCTACTATTAGGGTTGTGCATAATCTGAAAAATAAGGGAAATGGAAGAAGTCATTACTGTCAGGTAGCAGAATACAATGATTTGCAGAGTAAAATATCTTATGTTAACATTTATTGGGTAATCAAGTACTTAATCTTGCAAATAAGTGTGCTGTGTACTTCAAAACCAAACAATAATCTCCCCCTGTGCTTGCTTACACCAAATAGCTGAAGTGGCAAGTTTCAAGAATAAAAACAAAGCAAAAAAGAATTACTGAAAGTAATGTAGGGAATTTCTCAATGTAGGGAATAGATGGCCCACAGAAACAACACAGACCTTCCAATCGTGTCAGCAGATCTCAGCATAATTAACTGATATGCTAATGAATGGCTAACAGCACATGTCAGCAGAAATGGAAATAAGCGACTTGCCGTATTCTGTCACTATGATTCCTATTCTGTAGTAGTTTACTCGACAAATGATCTCAATGAAAAGGGTACAAATAAAAAATTTATAAACTCTTCCTAATGGTGCTGAATCCTCCTATCACATAAAATGTGTCCCTGTGTTTCAGCTGCATCTGATCTTGTCCATATATATTGACTTGAGCAAATAATCGATATCTGTTAATAGAATGGATTTGTCCTTCAATGATATCTTTCCTCTAGTTCATGCCAGGATTTGGGGTGGGGGGAAATGTCTTTGATTCAGTCCATCAAAGAATTTTCCAATTAATTTCACTATGCAATCTGAAGTTTATGTACACTGAAATTGAGTGTTGAAAACGGTAAACTCCTCTTCTTTTGGATTTTGTGGGGTATCCCCCACTTTTTTCCTTCTGATTGACTCCTTTTCTATTACTTGCATATATACTTTCTGAAACTTCACACCCAAAAAGTTGTTGTTTTATGACTTACTTTCTTACTACCCACAAATCAGATTTCAGAACAAGAGAGTCTTAGGTGCAGATTTAAATTGAAGATTTCAGTCAAATCCATGCTGAAAGTCAGACCAAATTCAATTCATCAGTCCTCCCTAGGATTATGAAAAATAATTACTTGATTCCCGGGCTGTGCATTTTCGAATTCAGATGGTAGAGAGTTTGATTTTCTGATTATAGGATGTCAGTTGCTTATTTACATTCCTTGAGGCTAAAAAAAAAACCACCCCAAAAAACCCAAACAACAAAACACACAGCTTCTCAAAATCCTCAATTGTGATTGAATATCCAGGGGTTATATTATGTATACTGCAATCTTCATTTCAGGCTTCCTTCTTAAGTACTGTTTCAGTGATTCATATGAAGCATTAAATCCTGTAATAATCATGCCTGTGGGACTCTACTGAAAGCAAAGTTTATTTCTTACATCCAAAGTCAACACAACTGTAAAGAAAAGAAATAAATGCACAGGAAATGTTTACATTTAAAGAAATGTTCTGCACTTTCATTGCTTCATGAAAGCTGTAGCTCACATGGGCCATTAGGAGAGTTTAGGGCATATTTTTATTTAATTCTTTAAAAATGTTGATGGACATCAGCAGGAATGTAGACTGATTTTAGGAAGCAATGCACACACGGTGATCAGGACTGCATGTTATTTTTAAGTGGAATTATTGTAGTTTGTAGAATTATTATGTAGTTTGTAGAATTATTGTAGCAGGCTGGACTAGCCAGTCCAGCCCAAACCACAACAATTATAAATAATCAAATATATATACATAAAAGAAAAATTAATTCAGTTGATGAACTGCCTATTATCAAGATGGGTAAATTTTATTTACCCTGTCACTCTTGAAAACTGACCATAGTACGTCCCTAAAACATTGAACTGTTACTAAAAATAGTTAATACATATGTAGGCATATGGATTGACAAACTGAATTTTTGTCTGATATCTGAACCAGACATCAAATATTTTCTGTGATTTTAATACATAAAATACTACTTTATAGTAGAAGTGCCAATAACAGAGGCAATACTGTTATTTTTCTTAATGAGCATATTGGCTGAGTAGTATCTTAGACGGTCAGATTTACCTAAGCAAAAATTACTGCCTAACAATTAAAATAAACAGTGAACTGTATGTTCCTATTTTCTTCTGATTGGAACAGGAAGTACTGATGTGTTGTGTTTAGATTATTTCTTCATGATTTATGCATGTTGGTCTATTATGCTTTTTTTTCTATGAATAATAAAATCCACTTCTCTATTCTAGGAAGCTTTTTCATTTATTTTCTCTAGTCAAAACCAAACATACTGGCAATCATATGAATATGATAATTTTTCACTTGCTTACGTTCAGAATTTTTTTTGTATAAGTCAAAGAATACACCTTGTATTAAAAAAAAAAAAAAAGGCTTTTCTAAGACTGTCTTGTCCTGCTGACAAAATACTCCCCAGCCTATCAATTGCAAGGAAGAGATTCTCCCGTTAATAAGTAGCTCAAATAACCAGTGTTTTTGGTTTTTTGTTTTTGGTTTTTTTTTGAAGTGATGTTTTGTGTCTTGCAATCTTTCACTCCTAGCCTTCAAATCCAATGCAGAGTGGCTACCTCAGATAATAGAAAGCTGTGACATTTCTCAAGGAGTTTTGCTAATTTCCTTGACTTGCGTATTAGCTGGATCAGCAAGTACTTGATTTATTTTTCATATTTTGCGCTCTTCCAGACTCTTAGTCACCGGGAGCCTCCACTCTAAACTACTGACTTTGCCATTGTCTGTCTGGGACTGCAGCAGGGAGATTTAAGGAATGAGAGCATGTTTTTAAACACTACTTATCCAGGTCCCGTTCACTAGTAATTCTGCTGATCCGCTCAGATTTTGGGAAATACAAGGAAGGGGGAACAGATGGTGCCCTTCAATTTCCTTTTGCTGAAGGAACTTTTGACCTATTATTCTTCTTGAAGATTTTCATCCTAGAATCCCATCCTGCTGTCTGAAAGACCTACTCTGAGTGCTTCCTTAGCTAAAAAGCAGATCTTCAGTGAGAAGGAACTCCTAAGACCCTTATTCCCAGTAAAGAAAGATCTTCTCTGTTGGGTGATCTTTCTTGCTAGTGGAGGAAAGGGAACACACATTCTCCAGCAGTCTGTCTTTTTCGCTAAGTATAAAGCAAAGGACATCAACCTGGTACCAATTGCTGTCGTATGAGCTGAGTTCCCTTCCAGTATTCATGGTTATTGTGAATTCCTGTGAAGGACAGTAGCTTCATAACTGCTTCCCGTGTGTTCTTGGGCTCAACCATGGGCTGTACGCTGTGATCACTGTCCTCATCACAGCTACTATATGATGCTTTAGCATGTGAGATGTAACGTATATTTAGTGTACTCTGATAACAGTGAAAATCACTGTTTCTTAATAAGAAAAATGTGTTTCACATGCACAAAAAGAAACCAAATAGGCCACGCATTGGCCTATTTGTAGAACAGTTGTAGTAGCTGTAGTTCCAATCTTCATATTTAACTGATCAGGATTGAGAGAAAGTTTAGAAATAGATCTCAGTTTCTTATACACACCCTTATGAAAAAAGTAGCTTGCTGAGATAATGAATATGATTGGAGAGGCACATTAACTCACACCTAAGGGAAATGTTTGTCTGTTCTGCTCTTAACAGTACTGCCAGCTCTGCAGTAAAAGAATTGGGGAAAACCCAACCCAAACTAAAAGAAAACAAACACCATGAAGCAGCTGCAAAGGTCTTTGCTCACAGTTCTTCTTGTAATGCAGTAGAGTTGATTTAATAACTGTTTTCTGAGACTTGAATGTTGTTTAAAGTTTTGTTAAACTGTTTGTCATATTCAAGCATAACCTTGAAAGTGTTTTTTGACTAAACCCCTATTCATCCTTTGGAAATCATCATTAGACAGTGAAATCAGAGAAGAAACATTACTCTTCTAGTCAACTTCCAGTTGCATATGACAGTGTAAAACAGAATGTACCAGAATGTATTCATAAGTAGGTTGCATTTAAGGGCTAAGAAGTCACTGAAATTTTGAACCAAAGTTAGCATTTCAGCTTAAATACCAGAAATTATGTCTAGACTATGTAATTAGAGCTTACCTATAATCAGTATCTCACTGTAAGCAGTGCTTTGTCGATATCCATTACATGCATTGTTGTTGCAGGTTCTTTTTTCATGTATCCACTTCTATATACTTCTTCCCCATCTTTTCAACTTTTTAGTAACTGCCAGATTTGCATGTTCCTATTTCAGCAAATGTTAATAGTTTACATATTTGAGATAATGGGTTTATCTTGCATTTTAAGGAAAATTCTTCAAATGATCCTGTTAGTGTTTTTCATTTATTTGTGAGCTCATAGAAGAATTGAGATGGGGTCACCTTGAGAGTTCCTCTATTTTAATCCTCCAATGAAAGTATGATATAACGCACTTGCATCGGTCTTGAGAGATGTGTGTTGAGTTACCCCAGCAGTGGACACTCTGCAGTCTCCCCATGTAATCATTCAGAAACTGAATATATCTCTGTGTAAAACAAGCCGTTTTGTCCATTATTTCCTTTTTTACAAGCATAAAATACACCACACTTTTTTTCCTGTGTCATAGCTCCATTCCATTTATGATTAGAATGTTCTTATGTCAGTCTCCAGTTTCCTTCATAGACTAAGAAGTCCCAGCTGCTTCCTATCCTTACACGTCGTGTTCTGTAGCTATTGACCATTTTATTGCCATTTTCTGCAGTCTCTCCAGCTGATCTTTCCTCTCTGCATCTTTCTCAGAGTTTGAGGTGAACCTTACCAATGTTCACTAAAGTGGTACGATGGTCTTCTCTGTATCTCCCAATACATTTCCCATTTTGCTCATGTGTATGTTATTGTTGACTGATATTCCTGACTCTTCCTTTTGGAGAACTTCCCACTTATCAGTTATCCTTTCAGTCAATAATTCTTGCCGAAAATCAAAATTTCATTAGTTTTTCTCACTGTTCCTCCAATCCATAAAGATATTTCTGAATGTTTAAATTGCATTTTGCTCTCTGGTGAAATGATGTAGAATCACAGCACCCGTAGGTCATTATAGGGCACTTACATTTCTGAGAAAACATAAAAGGGAAAACTGACTACATCCTCAAGTGTTCAACATGCTCATAAAGATGCACAAACACAATGCAAACCTTTGCTTTATCTTGTTATATATCTTCTGATAGTAGGGAGACTGTTTGTAGTAGTAGTACTTTCCAGCCCTTCTAAAATCCATATGTCTCAAGTCTCATGTGGGAGTTAAATCTCCTGAGATCTCTTCCCCAAAGAGCTTTTACTAAAGGTCAGCTCTTCATTCTCTCCGTGTTGTTGGTTAACCTGTCAAACCAAAAAAAGAACAAAGTATGTAGCTCCCACAGGTCTCCTCTTCATTGCTAAAAGAGAAGCCTAAATTTTCAGATATATTCAAGTAAGAGAATGATATTTTTCTGACCTGCCTCTGCTTAAAACTCACATTTTAGTATTTATGCTATAAAAATTCTGAATTTTGTGTTCTCATGCACCACTCCCACCAGTGTTATCATCTGGAATCTGTGTCATGCTGACTGTGGAAATAGCGAATCATTTTACTTTTCTGTATATATGTATGACAAATGCAATGTGGTAAATGTGACTCTTCAGTGTTTTTTGACCATCAATCCACTTTTAATAGTGTGTCCAGTGGATGTGGCTGGTACGTTATAACAATCTGGTGGCCTATATAATGTTTTGATTTATATTTTGCTTGCTTTTGCACCCATATAGAATGATTAGGAGTCACTTCATGAAAATTTACATGAAGATTATTTTTTCAAGCGATTTTACTTAGTAAATAAAATTAAGTTTGGTGAACACAAGTATGTTCTCTGACTCTATGTACTAAATTGAGTTATTTGTCTATTCAAGTTATAAAAATTGGATACCTCATTACTTTTTAAAAATACAACAAAGAGGATCTTTACAGTCGATTACAGTTTCTTTGTTCAGACACTTTGCAGAAACAGAACTTTATTTTAGGCTTAATTTTGTTTATTTACTTTTTAAACTTAAATGGAAAAGATACTTCTGATTTCCTGGTGTTCTATATACATCCTTTTTCCTACTCTTTGTAACATGCACACATTTTGAGGTAAGTGTCAGCGGCATTGATTTTTCCCTCTAGGAGCACATCACTATCTTCTTAATGATTGCCTGTCTGGCAGCTGATGAGAGTATTTTCCTTCTGCACTTAAAGAAAAAAAAGTCTTCTCCAAAGCCCACTGAAAGTGGGTGAGAGTCTTTTGGAATGGTGTGTCTTTGGATCCAAACCAAAGACACAGATTTGCCTCCCAGGTTACAACCTATCAACGCAACCTCAGCCTAAATGCTTTGAAGCAAATAGCAGGTAGTGAAGAGATTTTTTTTTTTGCTTGGTGTTGAACGAGCAGGATGTTTCTGAAGATAAGTCTGAATTGCATTCTCCCTACCCCTACAAGATTGGTAAAGTGATTTTGACTTTTTGGGTTTTTTATGTTGTCCCCATGCAGTATTGTGCGTAAATACAAGATTGGTAAAGTGATTTTGACTTTTTGTTTTTTTTTTTTTGTTGTCACCATGCAGTACTGTGCGTAAACGTTTTCACATTGTTCACTTCCTGGCAGTATTTGTACTACCTTGCAATTAAAATAATGAAGTGTATCTATTATTGTTTAGCCATACAAACGGAATACTGATGTTTCATGTATGGTTATTCTCCAGGACCTAATGGATCATTTAGATTAACGAGTAAAACAGCAGTACCAAAATCTTTTAAATACCTTGAGAATCATGCATATTTTTTTTGTCTTTTCTTCTCAGGGACCATATCTGTGAACACATTACGTACACCATATACTGCACCAGGGGAAAGTGAAATCCTTGACTTGGATGATGACTTGTATCTTGGAGGCTTACCAGAAAACAAAGCAGGCCTCGTCTTCCCAACAGAGGTGTGGACAGCACTTCTCAATTATGGATACGTCGGCTGCATTAGAGATTTATTTATTGATGGTCAAAGCAAAGATATTCGACAGATGGCTGAAATTCAAAGTACAGCTGGAGTAAAACCCTCGTGCTCAAGAGAAACTGCAAAACCTTGCCTTAGCAACCCCTGTAAAAACAATGGTGTATGCAGGGATGGGTGGAACAGATATGTTTGTGATTGCTCTGGTACAGGGTACCTTGGCAAATCGTGCGAAAGAGGTAGGTTCCATCAGATGGCTGCATTTCTACTGTATAGAATCCTGCACAATGACTAAAAATGGTGAAATACTATTAACTCATCTGAGGCAGAAATAGTGTCTTTGATTTTTGCTTGATGTGAGATGGAGCCCTGCTCTAGACTGAAAGAAGTAACTGTAGAGGAGAGATCTTAGGGGAGTTTCTGTGATGCATAAATAATTACTGGTTGACTATGACAGAGAGACAGTACTGCTAAACCTCTCTCAGAAAACGTTTCCTTTTCTGTCTCCTCATACGTTGCAGAGTTCTGGAAAGCTTTGCAAAAGTAATTTCAATTACTTTTGCATTACTAAACGGTCACATTTCAATTCCAAACTTAGGTCTTGTTCTCTGCCTATTTATGTCAATACCACTGTGTTATCAAATTAAATTAATTAAATTTACTTTTGAATTTCACAGTATCACTTCAATCCATGACCAGAACTTTAGCTATGAGTCAAAGCAAGAGAATCAGTGTAGGAACCTATATTTCTTACTTAACTTTTTTTTAAAGATCCTAGTGCCCAAGGAAACAGTTTCTACTTCTATTAATTCACTGAGTAGCCCTCTTGCCTACAAAAGGTAAGTGTAAAGTTGACAAACCCCATTTATTTAATGGAAAATGTGGATAGTGGCAAGGAAGATAGACATTTGACAGTTTTATATATTTTTTGTAGTTAGAAAGATGAAACAAAGTGTATTTTTTAACAATAAAAACCCGGTGAACATTTAAGTTGTTTGTAAATAGGTATGTATGCTTATGTAGACTTAATACCATCCTATTATTAGCGTTTGCAAGTACATTCTCCGTTTCTTCTGATTTTTGTGTCTTAATTTTTTGACTATATCTGCCTTTGGCTCGTGGCCAGCTATTCTGAGCTCTCCAGATTGTTCTGTGACTGGTGGAGGGAAGCTGGCAGAGGGCATACCCGAGCTGTCTGCTGCATTACCAAAGCCTTCAGTTCAACATGTCTGGTGTACCACCCTGTGGCAAAATTCTGCTATTGCAGATGGCACAAGTTAAAAAATAGGTTTTTGCATTTTTTTCAGCTGGAGAGCTAGGATACATGTGTGTTGGAAAGAAAAGCACGCAAATATGCAATGAACTTAAAAGCAGGCTTCATCATGGCAATTTCTCCTAAATATATTTGACAGGTGGTAATATTTTATATAGAAACCTTTGTCTTTTTTATTACCCATACTTTATTGCTGACTGTCTTCCAATAGAGAGCCTGATTTTTGCCTGTGCATTCCCCTAGTGGGAACGGTGGTGCTATGGTGTGTCTACAGTGGTATTTGGTTCTTGTCCAAAAGAAATATGTGCGGCAGTTCAGACAGTATGGGATCATTTCCTACTCTTGGGTTTCCCTCTCCAGAGGAAACTGCACTGAAAGAAGATCTCCTTCCAGTAATATTCATGTCCCAAATGGCCATGCATTAATAAGATTATAGCTTTTGGGATTCTGAAAGCAACGTTTTGGCATCCTACCACATAAAGTTATTATAACTCCTACCCGTGTGCAGTAACTGATAAACTTTTGTGTTTGGTGATACCAGCAACACAATTGTAATTGTTCAAACTAATTTAAATAAAATAGGACCATGTTAATTTCAACAAACAATACGGTTTCACAAAGAGAAGAAAGCATTAGAATAAAATATTGGGGATTAAACAACTGGAATATTTAACTTCATGTTAAGGGATTAAGGTATCTTCAGTAAACAAAAGCATGTAGCTACTTTTTAGTACTGTCATTTATTTTTCATGCTATTTCCCTTAAGATAGGAGTCCATATTGTGGATGTACCACGTACAATGCAGTATCTGCAGTTAATTTGGGCAGTTTATCAGTGCACAAAAAATTGAACACAACTCAGTTCTCTTTTAATTTCAGTATACTTAATATTTTTGTATATCCATGTGCTTTTTAGCCTGTTACAAGTTATTTTTGATTTTATTCTTGATTTTCAGTAAGGTTAAACATTAGAATAATCTGTAGATTGGCTTTAGTAGATTATGGGAGCTACAGCAGATGGATGGACAGATGTCACGGCAATATAATTTGGCTTTCTATCTTACTTTGATTGTGATTCACAATACGTGACGTGACTGCCTCTCGGCAGAGCCTTTTGCAGGTGTATACTTTTGCCTGGATGGCTGGGAGCAATGCACAAGCATAAATTCATCAAACAGAAAGTAGGCATGCAAAGAAAGATTTATCAAAGTGACATTTCCGAGGAGAAAATATATTTAAATTAGAAAGTGTGTGTAGACATCTACATTGCGCATGCAGCCACACCTGCATTTACATATATACATTAAATAAAGTAATACCACTTTCATTCCTTATCTCTGGATGCTTTAAAATTTAAAGAGAAATAATACAGGAGATGTGATGATAGATGGTATGGAGAATCAGGTGTTCAAAATAATTTAAATCAGAGATAGAATTCTATAATAACTAATTGTTTCTTTATCTTATGGTTCTAGCACCTCTATAGCTTAGGACTTCAGTCCTGAAAGAATACCAGTGTAGAAATTGGGAGGAATCATTTCACCTTCTATTCACCTATTATCTAGTAACTAATTGCACATTGAGAGATGTTTCCATCAGAGTGATGGAAAGGTTCCTCAGGATTCACCAAGGCTGTAGCTTTGGGCCCAGATGGACTGAAGCAGCTGCCGTAGCAAACACCCAGACAGCGCTTCGCTGAGCGTGCGCCTGTGAATAGAACTAAAATACAACTATAATAGAACTAAAAGTTTGAATTTGACTCGGTAGCTGTCGACATACCTGAATAACTCACACACTTTATAGGAGTACAATCATATACATCAGCGAGCATTTTCAGGGCAGGATATTGTTGCTTTCTATATATTGGTAAATAAAAAAGGGGCAGAGAGCAAATCTGAATACTTGATTACTGATGATCCAGATTGTTCAGGCGCTCCCTGGCGTGGCTCTGGACTGTATCGTTTGTCGCCTTCTGAGGCAAAGTTTGCATGTGATTTGGAAGACATCAAACACAGAGGGTGGTTTCATGTTTTCAAAATGGCTCTGTAGGCTGCAGCCCAGTCCTTGTATTATCGCAGACACTTTGAAACTGAAGAAGCAGGAAAAAATTAATAATTCCGACTTTAGAGGCACCACAAGGGGTCCAGAGGAAACTGTTTTATTTATTAAAATGCATGCAGTAGGCATCCGTGCTTACCAAGCACTGTGTTGTTAAAAACAACACAAACATGACTACAAAACTTATGAGGAAAAACACTGAAATTCAGATTCCTAGTCCAGACTTCTTTCACTTTGATTTAAATAAACTGTGGGTTGAAGAACAGCATCTATTCGGAAAATTATGTTTCTCCTCATAAATATCTGTCTGAGCATTTTTGAGGGTAGAAACAGGTGAAGGGACGTTTCCTGAAGAGTGGGTTCCTCAGTTTCTTCAGCAGTTTAAGTAATCTCAGTGAAATTAAGGTCCTGAATCTCTTCTCATACTGGTACTAGTTTGTGCATCCTTGTGATAGGCACAGAACTGAGTAAGGTAGTATGTGTATATAGGAAGGAAGAGTTACCCAGCCCTGGAGATTCTAATCAGAAACAAATTGAAGGAAAGGAGAGGTGAAACTGAACCCTTTTAGTGTGTTTTTGGTTTGTTTGGGTGTTGTTGGTTGGTCTTTAGCATAGAAGTAATAAGGTTTTTTAACGGTCACGTTTATAAATATATTGAAGAATGAATGTGTAAAATAATTTTAATCAATCTCTTAATTTTACTGTTTATTTCTTGTTAATTAGTCTACTGCATGCACTTATTTGCTGCTACAAAAAAAATATTCGGTAATGTTTTAGAATGTTTTCTGCTATTTTTCTTTTCAATGCTAGACTTCCAACACTGAAGTGATAGTAAAATTATTATTCCCTGCCATGGAGACTCTGATTCTTTTAATGAATAGCACATTCTGAGCCAAACTTATAGTCTCTTACCATTTAATATAATAATTAGAGGAAGCTGAACAAGAGAAAAAAGACATTCTGCCAGCACTGTGAGAACAGTTAGCAGTGTAGATCTCAAAGAACAGTGAGACATCCCTTTGGAATTAGTCAGTCCAAAGCAAAAAAAAAAAAAAAAAATCAAAAGTTAGGAGCAAAAATTAATGCATAGTTTTAGTCAAAATGTTCTTTTGAGGTTTGCATAAGTGGTGTAACCCCCAATGTCTCTCCTCTTTCACCATCTTACTGACCAGGCCTTGCAAAAACCAAAGTAACTGCAGGATGGAAACAACTCCATTAAAAAACTGAAATGATCTCTAGGTCTAAGAAAGTCAAAATAAACCGAGCCCTTCTTATTTCATCTTGAAAACTCTTTTTTCCTACTGCCAGAAAAACAGAGTTGTCTTTCAGTGTATGGCACCAAGCGTAATGATGGGGTGATAAAGCATTGCCATGAAGAATCACAAGGGAAGGAGGAAACTCCTTGTTCTTTCAAAGGTCTCATACAGGCACTGCTAGATGCCTCCTTTCTAGCCAAGACCAAGAGAATCTGGAAATATGCACAGCTGAGAGAACGCTGAGTCAAGTGGAAGAGATGATTCATGTGGCAAAATCCAGCTTGCCGTCTTTAGAGAGGAACACAATATTCACAAAATATCATTCAACCATATTAATGGAGCAATCATTTAATAATGGTTTAATAACAAAAGGTTTTCCTGACAATGCTTGTACGAGCAGACTCATTTCAAGTGATAAACTGAACATAGGTTTGGTTTTTTTTTTATTTTAAGAATATGTAGTGTTTCTGATCTTCAGTTACAACTCTCAGGGCGTTGCTAACTCTTCTTTTGCGGGTTTTTTTCTGCAATACCTTTGTATTTAGAAAGCCTGTGACTTGGAGCTCCCCATACTGAAAGGAGCAAGTTGGTATGAGGGGGTTTTCCTCATTGCCCCCAGAGCTTTGAAGTCATTTGCTCTTCTGTTCAGTCTCCTTGGTCTGTTCTTGGAACATCTGTTTCCAAAATAACTGGCACAGTATGGTTTAGGAGGATTGAGTATCTAATCACATCAAGTCTGTTCACTATGATGTTAAATACTCACAGGTCATCTCTGATTAAATTTAGATGGTTCCTTCTCTCAATTTTCTGTAATTTTCTAAAAGACCAAGTAATTATAGGAAAGCCAGCAAACAGTACCAGTGTTTATTCTTTTTTTCTTTTACATTAATTATTATAAGATAATTTATTAGCAACAGACCTTTAGTATTTTTGAACACTGTTCATCCTGTACCATCTGATTTTTATTTTTTTTTATTTAATAAAAACACTGAATAGAATTAATGTCTTTTTTAAAAGACAATATAAAACATCCCTTTAATTTTCCCTTACATTAGCATGTAACTTAAATTTTTTATGCTGAACTTGTTTAATTACCTAAGTTGTGTTTACCTTGATAAAGATCTTGGGGAACTTTTCATGCACAGACTACACAGCTGTATGTAGGAATGAAGTGTAAGCCCCTGCTTCATCCCCCCCAAAAAAGAAAGAAAACCAACCAAACAAAAAAACCCAACCCCTGCAAAAAACCCAACAAACCAAACCCAAACAACAATCAAAAAACCCAAATCATCTCTCATCTCCAAATCATCTCTTTGACTTGAAATCTCTTATCAGGCTGGCAAGAGTTAAGTATTCCATCTCCTTCACAGAAAAATTTCAAGTTTAGAATATGCAGGAAACCTTATTACCTGTGTGATTAGAAATCATCGATGTAAATGTATTCTTTTAATCTGTGACATCTAATGACTTGCCAACCAGTATTAGTACTCTTTTTTTTTTTTTTTTCCCCAACATCAAACTTCAACTTTTCTTCAAGGATTTATTGGGGAAGTCTGGAACTATTAAAGAACATCCCATCTATCATTTTTGCCTCCAATATGCTCACAGAGTTACGGTGGAACATTTTGTCCCTCTATGGGCTGTGTAGGCTGGAAGTCTTGAAGACCTTATCTGTCTTTAACAGTACACAAGATACTCAGTGGAGATGCTTTTGACAAACTGTCATGAGTATTGATGTTAAAAAAGAAATTCTAACACTGTTATAGTGATGATTAAACATAATATCAGTAGTATCAGTCCTTGAAAATGTTACTGTATGTGGGACCAGAATATTCCCTTGTTTGTAGATAAGTGTCTCCATTAAACTACAGCAAATTGAAGCACAAAGAAGCTTCCCCCAGGTGTTCTCTGCTGTCTTCTCCTTCTGCTCGTGGCTCATTTGGCCTGTTATTGGGCAAATAACAGGTATTTTTTTTCATTGAGCTGAGGTGCCCTCAGGATTGTGTCTTTTCCAAGAAATATTCTGTAGCATCCTGTTTAGACCTCATTATCTTAACACTTTGATAATTTCAAAGAGTGTTTTTGAGTGCATTGAAATTGAAGGAGACATGGAAGAAGTTAGAAGGTGGCTAGTGAATTAGTGGTAGGTAAACAATCAGATGTGCACAAAACAGGGTACGTTCAGACAGTAAGTGGTTTTAACCACAGACAGTAGTGGTTTTAGTTATGTTGTATGGTTAGTTTGGTATGTTACTGCAGACCCTACTGAAATTCCTGGTGGTCTGCCCACTTGCTGTTGGCTTGGGGTAAAGGAGGTCACTCATTCACTGCTGCTTCCACCACGATGTGCCACCGTTCATGGGTCTAAGGGCCATGTCCAAAGACTGCAGTGGTTTAACTGGCCGCAATGCTCGATTGTCCTGCAAGAAAGGACTTCCTAATGCATTCCAGAAACAGATATGTCCTTTGCTTTCTAGGAACTGCCTCCCTGTGAGCAGAAATGCAGTATTTCTGCTGCCTTTCCTGTTACCAGCCTGGAGGCTGGGAAAAGAAGGCTCCTGGCTGGTTGCTCTGGGGTCTAACAGACTGTGACCGCTCTGTGCCAGAGCCACTCACTGGGAGGGTTTCCTGGAACGTCTGAAAGTGACAGTTATTTGCTTGTCTCAGGGGTTTTAAGATCTTACCCTCAATATGCCAAGTCCAGTCTCGATCCTCTTGTTGAGGCTGTCTCAATGTTTCTACAGGTGATTTTGATTCTATCGTACCACGGTCATTGTGGTCATGAAGCAATCTGTGCTCCATCAGGCCATGCTGGGGATATTTACCCATTTCGGGTGGCTTTTAACTAACCTGATGATAACCATAACTCTGGTAGTAGATGAAGAATCCTAAGGTAGTTATCCAGGTGGATGAAAGTCAGACATGACCTTTTTACTAGGCTGTAAGGTTCACCTAATGCTTTTTACTGGCTTTGACCTATTTTGAGTAGCACAGGACTAGTCCTGCAAGCATTTCTTCACGTGTGATTTTATCCATCTCCTTGAAGGTGCATACCTGAATGGCTGGTTCGTTAAAAGAGCAATTTAGTTTCTTTTAAAAGGCACCAAAATTTGCTATTAAGAAAACCCAAACAAACAAAACCTGAAAAAAAAACCCAAACCCAAATTTGTTTATGTTTCACAGTAATAATTGCGATACAGAATTCTGTGTCACACTGAGTGAATATCCATTTACCATCTTCTCTTTGAGCAGTTTCAGTAAACGCAGTATAATTCTTTAATAACTGATTTTCTCCTTTATGTTTTCAGAGGCAACAATTTTAAGCTATGATGGAAGTATGTTTATGAAAATACAACTCCCAGTCGTGATGCATACGGAGGCCGAAGATGTTTCTTTGCGGTTCAGGTCTCAGCGAGCTTATGGCATTTTAATGGCAACTACTTCTAGGGAATCTGCAGATACCCTTCGGTTAGAGCTGGATGCAGGACGAGTTAAACTAACGGTCAACCTAGGTAACAAATTCTTCCTCCAAGAAATTAACATTTTCTTTGCATTTTTCTTTTTGCTTGCAAACATTTATGAAACAGCCCGTTTTAACATTAAAAGTAAACTGAAATGATATATAAACACACCTCAATGCAACATTTGCGTATGTACATACACACACAAATACATGCCCATTATTATATTTTATTTCGTTTTCTTTTGCATTTTTGTATTCTTTATATAGTCTTAACATAATCCATCACAATATTTTTGTACTATTGTGTATTCTAAAAAGAGAAGACTACTTCATCAGTGGTATTTTGGGGCTAAGATATTATTCTTCGTTGTGGAAGATTGGTCTCCCTCCACGATTTCTTCACAGTAGCAATTCCACAATTGAAATGTGGAAGCAGAAACAATGTGTATGTAGGTCAGTTCAGTTTTACCTCCACCAGTTAATGTACAACAGGCAAACGTATCAAAGAATTCCTCGGTTTAACACTAAAAACGTTGCAATTAAATAGTCCCACTGATGGATTTCTTGGTCTGCTTTTTTTAGATGTCAAATCTGTAGTAAATCCATCTCCTCTTTTTTAAACAATTCTGTAGTGGTATTTTTGTAGTATCGAACAATAACACAACCCTTCAATGCCCAAAGACTGCGGCCCTCAGCAAACAGCCGTGTGAACACAGGAGGCACAAGCCCTTTTACAGAAAAAAAAAATTCTGAAGAAAAGAAATATTAATTACCTGGTTTGAAATATGATGGACAAAATGTTAGGTTATGGTTTTCTCAAGTTTTTTTAAAAAAAGTAGTAAATAAATTAAAGCACTTGTGCTATGCATATGAATAAATCCAAGTCAGGAGCTGAAAGGGAACAGAAGATGCACGTTCGGTGCAGTCATTCCCATTCAGTGGAATGCTATTTTTAAAGGGAATTAAGTACTTCATTGTTTTAATCACACCTGAAATGATTTCCAGAAAGTATGGGGGAAGGAAAAAAAGAAAATAATCAACAAACCCTCTACTTGATAGAAGTGTCACTCACTAAAGCACTGTCCAGGTGTTTAGAGTTTGAAAGGGAGGAGGAGAAGCCAAGTTTTCCCTGTTTATTCTCCTCTCGCAGCGTGTCCCCTCTGGCCTGGAGCTGGGGCTGCTGCGGCCGCCCCCGGTGCTGAGCGGGGCCCGGAGCCCCCCCCCACTCACCCCAGCACTTTCTGTAAAAGGGGATGTGCTGGTGCTGCTGGTCCTTGGCTGTTTGCAACCACTTTTCTGATGCGGTTGACGACACATGACAAACTCAGCTATATGGAAACAAAATCTAGGTTTGATGGTATATATGTTCCTCAAAGGTATAAGCCAGGAGTAGCTCTACACACCACGTAGCATGGCGTAGATTTTGGTGGGGTTTTGTTTGTTTGTTTTTGGTGGGTTGTTTGGTTTTTTGATTTGGTTTTTTTTGTTTTGTTTTGGTTTGTTTGGGTTTTTTTTACAGTAATAAATGCAGATAGCCCAGCAGAGGACCCTGCTACAGACCAGGTCATTCCCTTTTTATACGGAACACGACCCTCTATCAGCTTTTTCCTACTTCTGTAGTTCAAGAAAGTAAATTAACCCATGCCCTAGCAATATTGTTTTTTCTTCCAACACCCCTCCTTTTTTTTTCTTTTTCTTTTTCCTTTTCCTTTTTTTTTTTTTTTTAAGTCAGGCAAGGAAATGATCTGAAAATAGACAGCATTCCCTAATTATCAGTGTCTATAAATGCGTTGATTTCCTATATATTAATGTAGCTTTAAAATGTAGTCACTGTTCATTTCTTAAGTCTATACAATAAGACAATATAAACCCACAAACCCCTATTTATAGGCCCAGGGAATGAGCTTTTGTGTTTTACTCCCTAGTTTCTGAAGATCAGCCTTTGAGGTATACTATACACAAGTTGTCCAAGATGTCTGATTGGGGCCTGGCTTGCTCTATGACCCATTGTGACGGAGCACTTTCTAATTGCATTGAGAGAAATTACCTGTTCTTTCACAGATGGGGAGAAAGTTGCAGCCTGCCTCAGTTAAGCATCTTTGACATTTAATCCTGATTTTTTTTCACTTAGATTTGTCACCATGTAGCTTTGTTTGAAATTGGCCATTTTTACCCTATTTGTCGTTTCTATTTATAAAGATTTATCGCAGTATATCTGGGTTATAACACTATGTAAAGACTGATGATATGGAGTGGCCATATTTGCATGTGTCTGTCCCCGGAAGGGTGGACTGTAATTTTATTGGATGTCTGCAGCTGTTACCTTGAAGGATAAATTTTCATTTTTCATCTATTCTTCCCCATCTAGACTGTATCAGGATTAACTGTAATTCCAGTAAGTGCCTATTCAAACTTTTTAAAATGTTATTCCACCATTATAAAATATGCAAACTAGATGAAAAAGATTGTGGACAGCTTGCAAGCACTTGATAATTTATTAATGAAATGTGATGATCAATTATCATTGTGTAAAAAGTCATCATATAATCTAGGGTATATTTTTTGTCCTTCCCATTTTAACTAGAATATTAAAAAAGGACGTATTCTACAGGTTGTAAACATACTTCTAGGAAGTGGTACCTGTAGTACTGTGTTATTCTAGATGGGTTATTTTATTTACAGTAGCCCTAGAATTTTTGGGCCAGCATTTCTGATAAGCTGTCACACGTTTTCCCCTGCATCCCCCCTCTAGTGTTCTTGACATTTTACCTCCAACCTGTGGTGAGACTGTTGGAACCTAACTGTCCCTAGTGCAAGAATTTCTATTTTATAATCCTCATAGACAATTAACTGTATTTACTGGGTGCTTATAACACAATTGGTTTTACTAAATCTTTGTTTTATGGAAATGTTACAATAAGGACATTACGTCTGAGAGTAACAATATTTCTATGATGATTTTTTACACTCTAATCATGTAAGAAACCTTAAATTGAACAATTTTTCTCTGTGATATGCATGTTTATGAAACAGAGGGAAACATTTGCCAGATGAATGGACTAAATTTTAACTTCTCTGATATTATTTGGATTAAGAGGCTATATTCTGAAAGGAGAAAAAAGGACTGTGATTTTATTTTGAGTCTATGGAATTCCTGAATGGTGTCAACAAAATTATTGATAGTAAGTATGGTAGATTTGAGTTTTGGGGTTGGTTTGTTTGGTTTTTTTTCTTTTTCCTTCCTCACAGGTTTTGCAGGCCAGAGGACTGGCTTTATGCAAAGAGAAACAAAGCTAATTTGTACTTGGTAGTTGTTTCCCAAAAGACGTGAACATAACATCCCATAATAGTTTTATAATTCACAAAGAAAAATAGGGAACTGCAGTCATTTATAATGTGTCGCTTCCTAATAGTTTTTGCAATGAATAACTTAACAAGACAAAAATACAGCATTCGTATTAAAAAGCATAGTTTTCTTGGGGCGAGTTTTAAATCTAAACCATACTTAAATCCAGACAGACTTTCCAATGCAGTAAAGGAAATGCTTGCAGGTATCAAGGCATAAAGATAGCTTTCTAATATTTTAAATAAATAAATAAATTAAATTGTTCAGTTACAAATCAAAAATTTCCACTTTCTAAAAATGTCCATTGTCAGTTGTCAAAATGCTTAAGAATATGAAAAATCTCAGAAACAGCTTGTTGGACCGTCACAGGACATTATTTTTGATCATGACCAATTAGAAAACGATTTCCAAGTATAAGACTAGCAGCTTTTTGAGCAGAAATGTAATGAGTTTGCCTGCTGCTGGTAAATTCCTTTTTTTCTTAGGAAAGGCAATACTGCTTTTTCCTAAGTTCCTTAATAAATTTAGAAAATCCTTCTGAAAAGGTAATTGCTAAAAAAAAAAAAATCAGTAATAATCAAATAGGTGTTTTATTTTTTTAATCTCTCTAATCACAAAATGAGGTGTCATAAAAATAAATTTAAAATTATTTGTAAATTCCACTTAAAAGCAAGTTTTGGATCAAAAGAGAACCTGCAAATACAGAGTAAGTAATAACCCTCCAATTAGGGGATTGTGAACAGGAGAAATGTATGTACTGGATTGAATTAGCAATTACAAGTTCTTGGAATCATACAAAAGCAGCATAGCCTCTGTACAAAATATCCTTGGTATGAAATACTCATAAGTTATTTTTCTTTACAGTTTGTTTAGAACCTTTTTGTTATTAGAAATGAACTTTCATGATTAGTTTCATCTCCCTTTGGTGCTTGTGTACCGAACAGATTTTTGTGAGCTTTCGGGAAGGTAAGTACTACAATACTTTCTTATCAGCACTCACTGCAGTTTTTCAACAACCAGATAAGTTTTCATGAGCAATTTCCATGTTTTAATTTTTAGATTGTGAAGAATTATTGCTCTAAGCAGTCCTTAAAAGATGCTTGCTTATTAGACAATATAATGGATTTTAGTGGAACACACACAATTTGTTTCAAAGCAATAGCATCCAGAACCTGAGTCTTAATTTGCTGATCACTAATATTTCCGTGCCTGTCTTTTGGGTTCTCATGAGAGCTGGATGTATATCAATCCTGATTTTCTGTTGATAGAAGTAAATCTAGTTGTCATGTTTGAGAAACTTCTTTCAGCTTTTCTTATTCCTGTTGCTTAGAAATTAGTTATCTTACTATAATTTTACTGCTGGTACTGAAATACTGTTTATTATAGCTAGGCTAGCAAAAGAGTTAAGGTCAGGATGAAGCTTTGAGTTTGGAGAGACAACTTTAAAAAAATTGTAAAACCAAACACAAACAAAAATTGAAATTTTGCTTGAGAGAAGAAAAGGAAAATATGAATGTAAGCATCTTATTTCCTACAGTGAATTACAAACATAGTAAATAAAATACTGTAATTCCTCCTCCCGTTTTCCCCTGAGAGCAGCCTGAGACCTGTGTTCTGCTCACTGCAGATCAAGTGACCACCTGATGACTGGTCAGAGCTGAGATTTTGGTAGGGATTTGTTCTACACTTTGTCATGCCTTCACCTTCAGCTGATGTCCTGTGTTGCAGAAGAGGTGGCATTTTGTGGTCTTCCTTGTTTGAAATACAGACTTTTAAAATTTCAAAATGTTAATCAAATGTCAGGTTGCTGTTGAGCTTGAGTCTTGTTAACAATGTTATGGAGACTGTTCATGCCATTTTTGTGGAACTGAGTGCCATACTAAAGTCAAACTGTTTTTATTTGGTGCTAGGTTAGAAGATTGGTATCTTTATAAAACCTTATACCACTCGAAATGCTCTCTCGTGTCAATCAGAAAATCCTATTGCTGAAATGTTGGGTTTCTATATCCTTAAATGACTTCATTGTCTTCTCCAGACCTGCGAGTTTACAAACCAAAATTGTCTGTCAGGCAGTGAAATAAATGGTCCTTTTAAACTGCAGGTACATGTAGGTCAATGTTGAGGCTGACATGAGAGAGAGGAAAACTCGTGAACAGAAATGGCTGCTGTAGTTTCAGTATTAGTTTTCATAGACTGAGGAATGCTTTTAAAAATAAGACTAAGGTGAACGATGTTGTTTCAAAGAACACAAATGTGCTGCATTTCTTGGCACTAGTTGTTCTGTAAAAAAGAACTGTAAGTTGATTGACGTACAGCTGTTGTACATTATATACAAAATTGATAAGCTAATCCTTGCCTAAGGAAAAATGCTAAAAAAATAAAATGCATTTTTCTCTTTCAGAGAGGGAAGTAATTGTTACTTTTTAGTTGAGACTGTAAAGCATAAATTATAAACAGCAGTGAATCCTCTTGAATTGAATGGGTTTCTTCCCTAGTATTTCTTAAAGACAGAACTCCATCCCAAAATTTACATGGCAGTTTGATAGCAGGTTTTGAATGACTTGTGAACAAATACAGGTGTGCTATATTTCCTTATTTTTCACAAATTCCCTTTTTTTTTTTTTTCCCAATTCTAATGATTCCAAATCACTAGCATCTGAAAAAATTCAGGTACCTGTGACTCTAGAGGCTGCTGGTTTTATGTGCAATATACTTTTTCACAGGCATGTGCAGTCTTACGTGCTGTTTTGTCTTCTCTAGTTTTTTTTGCATGGCTATAATTTCTGAAAATAAATTGTCTACATTTTTATATGAGTCAGCAGAGTAGGACCATAGGATTTTTAGTAAGTGATACATTGTACAAATAATAACAGTTAACTGGTAAATAGCTGGCTCTCATTTCAGAATCTGATACTTTTATCCCATATCTTTTCATATGGAACGATACCTTTTTTGAATGGTGCTGTGAAAGAACACTCAACTCGTGGCACAGGCTGGTGCAGCGGTGATTTAGGTCAGTTCTCTGGTACAGTTTTGCTTCTGTAGGCAAGAATTCATAGAGTAATCCCACAGAATTCATTTATACTCAGATGTAGGACTGTCATAAGAAATGACTAAGAATTGCAGAACGTTAGGAAGAAGGGAGCAGGGAGTACCATGGCAGTCTACATGTATACCATTCCCAAGGGAACATAGCAAACAGCTTTGCAGGCTGGGTGTCTGCCTTTCATAATTAGGAATAATTTCCTGGGCTTTGAGGCTTTTCTGTTTGCTCTTCCAGTGGAGTGTCCTTCACTTGTGTTTACATGCACCCCCCCTTTTGTGTCTGGCTAGTTCTTCATCCATTCTCTATATCTGCTTTTTTTTTTTTTTTCTCACTACATTTCTCTGTTTTTCCCTATAATTCTTAATCTCTTTTTCTTGTTTTGTATGTCCATCCTTTTAAAACTTTGCTATTCTGCAGATGTGCTCATTACAGATGATTACATTCTTATTATTCTATCTGGAATATGTAACATCTGTTATTGAAGTATTTTACTTGTTAAAGTATCCTACAAATCCAGAGCGTGACAAGAAGCTGTATCAGATTATTGGTAAATACCAGGAGAATTGTATGTATTGAAGAACTAACAATGGTGTTCAATTACAGTACATTTTCAGTTTGGACATAGATTTTAAGCTGCAGGAAAGCTTAAATGAAGACTATACATCCTTTTGAAAGCTACTGCTTGTAAAAATGCATTTTGTTGTAAAGTCCAGTGTCTTCAGCTGTGCTTTTATGGATACTGCAAGATCTACTGTGATGAGCAAATCACTTAATACATTTTCATGTATTAACTTCTCTCTATCTGGTGAAAAGAAGGATAAAAATATATTATTTGCTTCTTTTTTCTTGTTGGTGGCAGTACAAAATCAATGTAAAGACACAATCGTGCAGCTCCCACCAAAATGTAAGATTTTGTAATTGGCCTGGTTTCTTCCCCAGTGCTTATGATCGGGGTGAGATTGTTTTGAGGGTTTTCTCATTCATTATGGCTGAGAGCCTGGTA